CCCCATATTTTCCCCGATTTTTCCCAATTTTTTCCCGATTTTTCCCTGATTTTTCCCATTTTTCCCCGTATTTTCCGCGATTTTATTACCAATTTTTCCCGAATTTCCCCCGTATTTTCCCCAAATTTTCCCCAATTTCCTCCCCACTTCCCCCCAAATTTCCCCCCATATTTCCCCCATATTTTTCCCAATTTTTTCCCGATTTTTCCCTGATTTTTCCCAATTTCCCCCCATATTTTCCCCAATATTTTCCCCGTATTTTCCACGATTTTATTACCAATTTTCCCCATATTTCCCCCAAATTTTTCCCAATTTCCCCCCCATTTCCCCCGTATTTCCCCCCATATTTTCCCCGATTTTTCCCAATTTTTTCCCAATTTCCCCCCATATTTCCCCCCATATTTCCCCCGTATTTTCTGTGATTTTATTACAAATTTTTCCCAAATTTTCCCCGTATTTTCCCCAAATTTTCCCCAATTTCCTCCCCACTTCCCCCCATATTTCCCCCCATATTATCCTGATTTTTTCCCAATTTTTTCCCGATTTTTCCCTGATTTTCCCCATTTTTCCCCGCAGCCAACGAGAAGCCGGAGTCGGCGGCGGCGGCGGCGTCGCGGCTCAGCGCCTCCAGCTCCAGCTCCGACTCTTCCTCCTCCTCCTCCTCCTCCTCCTCCTCCGACACCAGCGACTCCGACTCCACCTGAATTCCCGGAAAAAATTCCCGGAAAAACCCCGCGTGGAAAAAAAAAAAAAATCCCGGAAAAAAAACTGAAAAAATCCCGGAAAAAAGGCGAAAAACCGGGGGAAAAACGGGATTTTTTGGGGGGGTTTTCGCAAAAAGTCGGGGGGGATTGCGGAATGAAAAGAGGATTTTTGGTGGAATTTATGGAAAAAAATCCCGGGAAAGAAATTCCTGGAAAAAACTGAAGAATTCCCAGGAAAAAACTGAAAATTTCACTGAGAAAAGGTAAAAAATTGGGGGGAAAATAGGAGTTTTTTTGGGGAAAAGGGGGAGGATTGTGGAATTCCCGGAAAAATTCCTGGGAGGAAAAAGAGAAAAAATCCCGGAAAAACTGAAAACTTCACGGAAAAAAGGTGAAAAATTGGGGGGAAAATGGGATTTTTTGGGGGAAAATGGAGGAAATTGTGAAATAAAAGAGAATTGTTGATGGAATTCCTGGAAAAAATTCACGGAAAAAATTCCTGGAAAAAAACTGAAAAATTGCTGGAAAAAACCGGGAAAATTCCCAGTAAAAAAGGTAAAAATTGGGGGGGAAAATGGGATTTTTTGGGGGGAAAATTGGGAGGAAAATGGGATTTTTTGGGGGGATTTTCTCAAAAATTCAGGGGGAATTGTGGAATAAAAAGAGAATTTTTGGTGGAATTCCTGGAAAAAATCACCAGAAAAAAATCCTGGAAAAATTGAAAAATTCCTGGGGAAAAAAAAAAGAAAAAATTTCCAAAAAAAAGGTAAAAATCAGGGGGGAAATGGGAATTTTTAGGGGGGGAATTGTGGAATAAAAAGAGAATTTTTGGGTGGAATTCCTGGAAAAAATTCCCCCCCAAAAATTCCAGGAAAAAATGGGAAAAATGAGGAATTTTGAGAATAAAAATTGAAATTTCCAGGAAATAAAAAGAGAAATTTTGGTAAAAAATTCGAATTCCGAGGGGAAAAAATGGGGAAATTTTTCCCAATTTTTTTCAGTTTTCCCCCAAATTTTCTCCAAATATTTCTCAAATTTTCCCCAATTTTTTTCCCAGATTTTTCCTTATTTTTCTCCGAATATTTCACAATTTTTTTCCCTGTTTTTACCCAATTTTCCTCCCAAATTTTCTCCACATCTTTCTCAATTTTACCCCAAATTTTCCTCAATTTTACCCCAAATTTTCTCTTTTTTCTCCCCAATTTTCCCAAAATTTCCCAAAAATTTCCTCCAATTTTTTTTCTATTTTCCCCTGAGTTTTTCCAAAATTCCCTCAATTTTCCCCCAGTTTGTTCTCAATTTTCCCCCAAATGTTCTCAATTTTTTTCTGGAATTTTCCCAAAATTTCCCCAGTTTCCCCCAAATTTTCTCCACTTTTTTCTCAATTTTCCCCAAAATTTCTCCAGACTTTTCCCCAATTTTCCTCCCAAAATTTCCCCAGTTTACCCCAAATTTTCTCCAAATTTTTCTCAATTTTCCCCCCAAGTTTTTCTAAATTTTTCCCAATTTTCCCCCAAATTTCATCCGGATTTTCCCCAATTTTCCTCCCAAAATTTCCCCAATTTACCCCAATTTTTCTCCAAATTTTTTGCAATTTTCCCCCAAATTTTTCTCAATTTCCCCCAAATGTTCTAAATTTTTCCCGAATTTTCCCCAATTTCCCCCCCAAAATTTCTCCACATTTTTCTCAATTTTCCCCCAAATTTTCACCAGATTTTTCTCAATTTTCCCCCAATTTTTCCCGAATCTTTTCCTTAATTTCCCCCAAATTATTCCCGAAAATTTCCCCAATTTCCCCCAAATTTTCTCCAAATTTTCTCAATTTTTTCCAGAATTTTCTCCAAATTTTTCTCCAACATTTCCCCAATTTCCCCCCAATTTTTCTCAATTTTCCCCCAATTTTTTCTCCATTTTCTCCAAATTTTCTCTTTTTTTTTTCTGGGATTTTTTCCTGAATTTCCCCCAATTTTCCCCCAATTTTCCCCCCAAATTTCCCCAATTTTCCCCAAATTTCTCCTCCCTCCCCGTCGCCCTTTTAGGATTCGCGGGTTCGGAATTTTTTTTGTTTTCCTACAAAAAAAAAAGCGAAAAAAAAACCCAAAAAAAGCCGGAAAAAAAACCCAAAAAAACCGAAAAATCCTTTGGAATTCTTGCAAGGTGTAAATAAAGAAAATATTATTGCAAAAAGGCTCCGCAGTTTTGGGATTTGGGGAAAATTTTGGGAATTTGGGGGTTTTTTTAGGGGATTTTTGGGAATATTTTGGGATTTTTTAGGGCATTTTTTGGGGGATTTTTGGGAATAATTTTGAATTTTTGGGGCATTTTCGGGGATTTTTTGGGGATTTTTGGGAATTTTTTGAGGGATTTTGTGCGTGGGAATTTTTTGGGGATTTTTGGAGATTTTTTTGAGGATTTTGGGGAATATTTGGGACATTTTGGGGGATTTTTTAGGGAATTATTGAGAATTTTTTAGGGGGAGTTTCAGGAATAATTTTGAATTTTTGGGGCATTTTTTGGGGGAATTTTTGGGGGTTGATTTTTGGGAATAATTTGGGATTTTGCGGGTTTTTTAGGGGATTTTGGGGGGATTTTTAGGAATAATTTTGAATTTTGGGGGATTTTGGAAATTTTTTGGGGGAATTTTTGGGGGAATTTTTCCGGAATTTTTGGGGTTCTCACCGATTTTTCTGCCATTTTTTGGGGTCTTTCTGCCATTTTTTTGCGAATTCGCGGATTAAGGGAATATTTGGGATCCCCCCAAGCTCCCAAACCCATCCCGAGGGGTTGGAAAATCCCAAATTTTGGGGATTTTTTTGGGATCATCCCGCGGGAAAATTCCCCCTCCCCACACACCGAAAGAAGGGCGGGTAAAAATCAGCCAATCACAGAGGGGCGCGGGAGAGCATCAGCCAATCAGATCGCGCAGCGCCGATGAGTCAGCGGTTGCTGGGCAGATCCCGGCGGGGCCCAGCGCGGGGGGAGGAGGAAGAGGAGGGGGAGGAAAAATTATAAAATTCCATCGAATTTTGAATATTCTCCTGATTTTATTATAATGAAATCTGACCGCAATTTAAATATTCATATTTTATTCTAATTTTATGCATTAGAACACCCGGGAAAAGAGGATTTGGGAATTCTCAGTTCCCCAAATTTTGGGTACAGGGGGGGTTGGGCACTACCAAACTCCAAAAATCCACAAAAAAATCGGATTTTTGGGCAACCCCAGACTCCAAAAATCCTGAAAAATTGGGATTTAGGCACTTCCAGATCCCCAAAATCGCGAAAAATTTGGGATTTGGGAATTCTCAGAACCCCAAAATTGTGGAAAATGAGGAAATGGGAATTTTGAGTTCCCCAAATTTTGGGTACAGGGGGGTTGGGCACGCCCAGACCCCAAAAATCGACAAAAAATTGGATTTTTGGGAACCCCCAGACCCCAAAAATGCTGAAAAAGTGGGATTTGGGAATTCCCAATACCCCAAATTTTGGGTACAGGGGGGTCTGGGCACTTGCAGATGCCCAAAATTGGGGAAAATTTGGGATTTGGGCACTTTTAGATCCCCAAACTTCTCGAAAAAGAAGATTTTGGAATTCTCAGATCCCCAAATTTTGGGTACAGGGGGGTCTGGGCACTCCCAGGTCCCCAAAATCGTGGGAAAATTGGGATTTGGGCACTTTCAGAGCCCAAAAATCCCGAGAAAAGAGGATTTGGGAATTCTCAGTTCCCCAAATTTTGGGTACAGGGGGGTTGGGCACTCCCAGCCCCCCAAAATTTTGGGTACAGGGGGGTTTGGCCAATCCCAGCCCCCCAAAATCCGGGAAAAAGAGGATTTGGGAGTTCTCAGTTCCCA